TTTAAGATAAGTTTAACCACCAAAAGGACATTAAAAGAGAATAGAACATGAGATTAAGTTATGTTGATATTTTTCTGATTGTATAGCAGTAAAACCCTCTAACACAAATGTTATTGAAATGCAAAACCTCAAATCTGAAAATGTTTGATAATATTTTCCTTTTTTTAAACTGCTCTTTAAGAAATTGACATATTATGGGATTTTATTTTTGCTTGAAAAATCAGTCACAACATAGTATATTTTATTAGACATATTCTGTTTCTGTTTACTTTACAAAACATACAAACACTATTATTGTGATTGAAGAAAATACATTTAAAACAGTATGATTGATCAGTTAGGTTTTTTTCATATTCAAAGTCTAAAAAATATTAAATTCTTAAATTTATTTGAATCTTGAATTATAATTCAATTTACTGCTCCTTACAACTGAAATCATAAAAGTGTTAACTAATTTCTTGCAAGTGTTCAGATCTAGTTTTAACTTTACAAAGAGCTCTATAAAAAAATAATTTAATTTTACAAAGAGCAGGTGTGAAACCAAATTTGATAGTTGAAACTCAGTTGAATCGGAAGTATTAAAAACTTTAAACTAGCTGTTTCACCTGAGGAATATTAAATACCTACCAAATGTTTAGATAGATTTAGGTAAACTTTAAATTGAACTTACCAGTTTCAAGAAATTACTTAACAGTTGTATGAGTTTTGATCTAAAGTACAAGTCCATGAAGTATGACTGAACGTTTACATTTTGTATTGCCTGAATATCCACCCATAGGTATTACTACCTGTTGTTCTGTCCATGGTTCAAAATAGGTTGGCTCAGAGAATGGACTTATACTATCCTGCAGGGATACACAATATAACAGAACCTAAACACATAATTTCTACAAATATTTAAGTTGCTGACCTCTGATTTTGTATTTTAGATTAACTTAATATATGGGGTTTCCCATTTACATACATGGTCTTAGCCATTTTGTAATGCAATGTGCAATCTAATGATTATGTGTGACAGACGCATATTTCTGTAAGAAGACTAGCTCTGACTTTTAATCTTGCAGTTGGCAGGACAGGTCAGAAAACAAATGGTAATTAGTAATTTACAAGCCTCCATAAAGATTTGATAAAGAACGTTAACCTGCAATTGATAAGTTTGAATATCGGTAAAAACTTATGAAAGTTGTCAGTATTATTAGCTTTTAGAAAGAAATCTAACCTGCAGTAACAAGTTTGCCCTTGAAATTTTTTAGAAAATAAAACTGATTTGTTTCAATAAACTCTCAGAAAGTCAAGATGTAACTACGCAACAAAAATTTATTCCGAAATTGTTAGTTTTAAGTTTTGAGTTTTGACATTCAGCAAACTAAAGTTATAACTTAGTAAATGTTAAAAGTTGATATTTGAATATCTATACAAATCAGCTTCCTTTTCTTTCTTATACATCTTGAGTTCTAGATAGACAATATAACTGCTTTATATTTTCACTTGTATTGTTTCACGCATGATAGCTCTTATTTTCACTGACAACTTCCATAGGCTCATTAGTAACTGTGATGACATCAGTTTAATCTGTAAAAAACTTTTGTAATTCAGATGAGAATTTAAAATCATTCATTGACAAATATAAATTCTATAAAGATAGTATTGATTTCTACTATTTTTACCAATATAAAAGTTGAAAATTTCAATGACATTGAAAGGAATTCTAACTGTCAGTCTTAAACATTGCAAGGATCTGTGAGATTATTTATATGGAATAAGATTAATGAAAAGAGGCAAGAAAAACTTAAACATATCTGATATCCTTACGATAGGTAATCTGACTCCCGGATCGGGAGGTATCTCGCCAAGGTCAGGTATGTGTCTCATTTTTCTTGCTTATGATTCTTGCTTTAAATCTAATAGATTGGAGATTTGATTCTAGAAATGTATAGATTTTGTTTTTAAGTTTTTGTTGAAATGCAAATTTGAGGCATCTTCTCTTTGGTTTATCAATTTAAAAAAATATCTGCAAAATAATATCTGCATGATTTTTAATGCTGAAAAGTGCAGGGAGAAATGGATTTTGTTACAATTATAATGTTTTTAAAAACACTGAAATCGTTCATGAATTTTAAATTCATCAAACCTAAATAAATAAAAAAATTAAAAAAAAAAAGAACATATCACAATTTGGTATAAGTTGTCAGTCATTCAAATGAATTTGTAAATTTAAGAAAATGCATAGAAATCAATTTTTTCCAAATTTATAACATATTTATATGGATATTGGAATCAGTCCTCAATTTATTAGTAAAAGTATGAGCTATGAATTCTCAGGGTAAACCTTTCTGGTGTTCAGTTATTGAGATATATTTCACAGGGTAATTTGCTTATACAATATATTACAAGATATCCTTTCCTTTGCTGGCAGTCAAGTATTGTAATTTACCCTTCAAACGAAAAAAGAAACATGGCAACATTTATCAAAATTTTTAAAATACTGAAGATTTTTGTCAAAACAAATTGATTGGTTGGCTGAGGGAAGTGTAACAACCAATGGATTTCTGATTAAAATGAAAAGTTATTTTGAATTAAAAAAAGTTTTATTCAAACAGTAACATATTGTGATATATCAACACCATGATAAATCATTTCTCCTCTTAAAATCGTTATTAATACTTCCAAAGATTTGTACCCTGCTTTGCTGCTTTCCAATGTAATTCTGATATCAATACCTATAGAAAACCCTGGGTTATGTCACCAGAGCTGTAGCTACCATTCTAATACAATGTTGGTTATATTTGTCTTCCGCCAGCAACAAAAGTCACAGAATTTGAGACATAGGGATTACAATCCAGCAGTGGCAGATTAACCTATTTCATTATAGAGCTTTTATATTTTAAAGGGTAGAAGACCTGGATGCTTCATACCTTGTATATAGATGCCTTATGTTACAAAGTTTCTGTCTGTCATATGTCCATTGCCCTGACCTCATGTTCATGGTTCTATGACAGCTTAAAAAAAGTTCATGTGAATTAAGGATAACTATATTTTGAATATGGGTTCTTTTCAAAGTCTACATGTCTGTCAGACAGGGTTCACCTCACCTCAACCTGATATCATGGATCAGTGATCAAGGTTAAAGTTAGTGATTTAATAGGTCCGTTTCTCAGATACTATAAGCAGTAGGTCAGCTGTATGTGGTGTATGGAATGATTGTAAGGTGTACGTTTCATCTGACCTTGACCTCATTTTAATGGTTCATTGGTCAATCATACAACAGTTACTGTTGAACCATGCATAGAATTTAGGCTCATAGCAATGAAAGAGAGACATTTGATTCAGTCAACTCTAACAACTCTATTAGTTTAATTTAACATTAGTGTATAATGTGATTTAAAAGGTGGGTATCACAGTATCTCCAGTTGATCTTTAGTACCTTTGTCTCTTCTCCCCTTTTGTATGTCCCCACCGTTAATGATATACCCCTGCTACTATGTGGTCCAACCATATAGTGTTACCCATGTCTGTCATTCCGCCATTCTGAAATCTCAGTTTTCCCAATTTGTTTTCTTCAGCCTGCAGATATTGATCTGATTTTTGGTAAATTACTGTATAATGATGATTTAGTGATTGTGTTTGCATTTCACTCTCGTAAATTTTTAGCAGAATTATAGCTCTAGGACTAAAACATTTCATGAAATTTTACCCTTCAGAAGTTTTTTTTCTTATAATGCCTGCAGATTTTGGTAGGTTAGTGTATAATGATGACATACAGATAAAGTTTGCCTATTCTGTTGACAAACTTTAGGTGGAATACCAACCCTTGGATTTATAATATTTTTTACAATGTTGATGTATGACAATGACTTTCAGGTTTGCTAGTTAGACCACCTGTATTAAGAGACCTTTTTTGCTTTCTCCCTTGAGTGGTCTCATTATACAGGTTTGACTGTATGATAAAAATTAACTGAATTTTATATTGTGTTGTGTTCAACTTTTAGAATCTGTGTTAAATATTAGATGACTGCCTAAGAGGAGTAAACAGTGTTTGATTAGAATATCTCTGTGTCTTGCATATTTCCATAGATATTTGCAAGCTTGTGCAGTTGTCGTGGCTTGTGTTGTAAAAGAATTGTGACAATGTTTGTAGCTTGTTGTATGTATTAACCATCTTTGGTAAGTGAAACTAAGGAAAAGAGGTAAATCTATGCTCAGATGATGTGATGATTGAGATTCATTTTAAGAAACTGGGGCTCTTTTCACAAAAGATCATGAGAATAATAATACTTGTAAGTCATACACATTTCAATATAACTACGATCAATTTTAATTGTAATATTTTTTTTTGAAAAGAGTCGCTGGCCTTTTTGTCAGAAAAAGATTATGTGGTAATTAAAATAATTTCAGATATGTTTTTGTTTGTCATCAGTATCTTTAAAAGGAAAAGAAAGTAATAATGTTGTATTTGTCAATAATCGTTTGTTAGATTGTTCACGTAAGCATATTGAAACAATCTGTACAAGTGATTGTATTGACGCAAGTCATTAATTAGTGGGTAAGAGTGAAGTCATTCAGATTTTAATTCATTAATATCAAATTTTATTCAATAATGCTAGAATAAAATGACAAAATGAATGGATTGTCACAGTTGAAAAAAGAAAGAAACTTTAACATTGAACAGTATAAACAGTCGTTACAGTGTCACTTTATTTTGCCATGTATTTAGGTTTATTATTTGGTATTGTTAGGTTAAACCAATATCAGAAAGAAAAAAGGAAATCTGGAAATAATTGGTCTTTTTATTTTCCTATATTGCTTTTATTATTTTGTTTTTATTTTTTCTTCCTATTTTGGTTAATCTTTTCTAATGACCATACTGAAGGTTTCTTAAAGTTCTATTTCATGTAAAATTTTGACCAACCCAAATGTTGTACAATAGTTTGTTCAATAGAAGTAGATTCTTGTGGACTTCACAGTGCATTAGATTTATGAAGAGCGGTTTATATTTTCAGGTCGAAGTCTGATGGTGAAAAAGAATGATGGTATCAAAGAAGTACAGTCAACAGATAGTACTGCTACTATTGATGATGAAGATACTAAAGGTTTGTACCAATGGTTCCAGGCTCAACTGAACTCTTGTCACATTTTATCAACCAGCATAGCCATCGTTTTATTAATCGTAATCTTGAGTGTAAAAAATTCTTGAAAAAAAAAGCTTTTGTCAAATTAAGATTTTTGTGTATTGGAAATTAAAAAGCAAAAATCATAGAATATCATATCCTGCTGGCAAATACACCAAAAGATATTTGTTGTTTGCAAAATTAATGGGTGTAAATGCATTATGCAATTAATCATTCTCCATTAGGATTTTTATTCCCCCGGCGTAGCGGAGGGGGCATTAAGTTTTGCCCTTGTCCGTCTGTATGTACGTCCGTATGTCCCAAAATTGGTTTCCGTTCTCTAACTTGATTTTGCCTCAACCAAATGTTATGAAACTTATACACAATGCTAATTACCACAAAAAACAGATCAAGTTTGAATTTTGGTGGCGTCACTTTAACCGTTTTAGAGTTATGCCCCTTTATAAATGGAAAAATTACAAAAATTTTAGTTTCCGTTCTCTTACTTAAGTTTGCCTCAACCAACTGTTATGAAACATATACAAAATGCTTATTACCACAAAACACAGATCAAGTTTGAATTTTGGTGGCGTCACTTTAACCGTTCTAGAGTTATGCCCCCTTATAAACGGAAAAATTGCAAAATGTTTAGTTTCCGTTCTCTAACTTAAGTTTGCCTCAACCAAATTTTATGAAACATATACACAATGCTTATTACCACAAAATAAAGATCAAGATTGAATTTTGGTGGGGTCACTTTAACCATTTTCGAGTTATGCCCCTTTATAAATGGAAAAAAATGCAAAATTTTTAGTTTCCTTTCTCTAACTGAAGTTGCCTCAACCAAATGTTATGAAACTTATACACAATGCTTTCTACCACAAAACACAGATCAAGTTTGAATTTTGGTAGCGTCACTTTAATCATTATCGAGTTATGACCCTTTATAAATCGAAAAATTGCAAAATTTTTAGTTTCTGTTCTGTAACTTAAGTTTGCCCCAACCAAACATTATGAAACCTATACACAATACTTATTACCTTAAATCTCAGATCAAGTACAAATTTGGGTAGAGTCACTTTTATCGTTCTTGAGTTATGTCCCTTTATAATGTTGTATGCAAGCGGGGGCATCATCTGTGTCCATGGGGACACATTCTCCATTTATTTGATTATTTTATTCCATACTGATGTAGATACCACAGTAATCACATAACACATCATATAAAAGTTAGAATTTCTAGGTTTACAACAATAAAAATCTATTTCTGATTTTACTCTCATATGTTGTGGTGTGAAATCTACATGCTATAAAAGAGAAGTTAATAGTTCTATTATTTTGAAATAGATTAAGAATCAGGTGAACTAAAAAGTATTTTTACTTCAACATAGTCGATTAAAATTGTATGAAATTTGTATCCAAAGTGGAAGTAAGTATTAATCATTCCATAAGGAAAAGCACATTACGTGGATTGTATTTATGGAAACTGATCTTAATTGATGATGGTGCGGTTTGGATTAGTGAAATATTGTGATGACTGTAACACCTACTAGTTATATCTATTTTTAAAACTAGTATCCACAATTTTACTATTTTAATCTGAAATTTATTTGAGGAATTACATATGTTGGGTAGAATCTGACGAAGTGAAAAACTTCTCTTTGTGATAAATAATGATAGAAATGAAAAATAAGTGTATTTCTGTGAATGATGTTAGTTGACAAACATTTTCTAGGAAAACCAGAAATTGATAGTGAGTACATTTGTTGGCAAACCCTTCCAATTAGTGCTGGTTTTCATTATAGAATTTTCAGAGAGTGCATTTTTATTTTGTTCTCTTAGTGACATGACTATTTAAAAGTTTTGTAAATATAGAAAAAAAAACATGTTTTAGCTGATTTAACCCAATGTGAGTTATAGCTGTCAATTTCAACCTGCAATCATTGTGAGCTTTTAAAATTGTTCATAATCTTAAATTAAACCAAACTTAGAAGTACTTCATAAAAAATCCCCATTATGTTCTGATCATGATGATAAAGGGGTGATATATGATTTTGATCTTCTAACATATGAGGAAAAAAAGGATATGTGGTATCCATCCATGACACAAAATCAGTATGTGCACAGCAAAAAACATGAAAAGCAAAGGAATGAAATTTGGGAAAACATACGTAAGATTTTTCATTTGTGCCGATTGAGTAGCAAACATGGCAGCAATAACAATTCCATAAAGCTTTGTTTCCATTGAACCCTGTGAGAAATTAAATAAGATATGTAAAAATTCAGGACAAAACTGTATTTTTTTAAATCAAAATTTAATATCTTATTGTTAATTTGTTTGTTTTAATAATACCTTTATTTGATATCGGCTCCCCTTGAGAATGAATATGGGCCTTGTGGCCGAGTCTAAGTAGTCCAACTACTGTATCATTAGCCTGTCAACACTGCAGGTTGCGGAAGAATTCAACTCCACTCTCAATTGACTATGATTGTCAGTTTTCCTGTTTAAGGTGGTGGCTCCCTCTGGACACTACAGCTTTCTCCACTAATAAAAAACTGACTGCCACGAAAGTGTAAAATACAGGTACCTAAATATTACAATGATTTTAAAGTAAAGAAATAGTACTAAATATTAAAAGTAAATTTCCAGTACTACAGATTTTTAGTATAGAAATACAATGAAATAGTACCTATGTAAAAGTAGCAGTGTAAGAATTAGATTTTAACTTGATTGTTCAACATACTGCTTTTAACAAGTCATGTCAGAAACCAATATTTTTGGTTCAGTCTTTTTAAGTTTCTAATATTCACTATCTTACAAAAAAACCTTTGTTCCTGTATTATGATATACTTTCAAAGCTTGGAAGGAGTTTTCTTCATCTTTAACAACCATTTTATTATAGCAGAGACATTTAGAATTTTTTGCTACAACCCATGTTTTGTTTACTTATTTTTTTAATGGTTTATAATTTACCTTTTTTTTTTAAATCTACCTTTGCTTGAAAAGTAAAAGAAATAAAAAGTTTTGAATACAACTAGCATGCTGAGATTTAATGGTGTTTTATCAATTCAGTGAGTCAAAAAATAGTTATTATGTTAATCTACAGACTTATTTGATAAGAAGTGTATAATCAGGAGTGATCCTTGTAGCTAATATTGCAGAATTAGCTATTTTATCTGTTATTTTGATAAAGTGCATGTTTTGAAAATAAGAGATTTTTTATTTTAAGAAATTTCCATGAGACAAGTGAAGAAGTTGAATGTATACATTTCGTCAAATTGAATTAGGGCTTGTTAATGTAGACTGCACGTTTAAATATTCTTCCTAAATTTAATATTATGAGTCTTTTTTGAATCAGCAAATTGCAAGGTCTGTGTAAACTAGATGTATAATTTGTATATGTTGTAGACATCTCTAAAGTTGGTCCATGTATTGGTTTTAATGTCATTGTAAAGAAACGTTTATTTTGGAGCTAATCAAAAAGTAAAAATGGCCTAATGTTGTGCTGTTACATCACTGCCCAAGGTTTTGGGGAGGGTTGAGCATTCAAACATGTTTTACCCTGCCACATTCATTATGTGCCTGTCAACACAAAATCAGGAGCCTGTAATCCAGTTGTAATTCTATGTTTGCTGTCTGTCATAATTATTTTTATTTTATTTTTTAGCTTTAATGAGGCTGTTATGTTTCATATTTGAGTTGTTTCATATTTTGCATATCGGGGCCTGTTATAGCTTACTATTGCTCATTAATGAAGGCCGTCTGGTGACCTGTAGTTATTTACTTCCTTGTCCTTTTGTTTTTGGTTGATAGAAGTCTCATTGGCAATCATACATCTTATTTATATAGTGGTATATAAATATCAAATTAAGGGTTTACACATCTTTTTGTCCAAAGTCAAAGAAGTTGACTGTTTTGTTTTTTTTATGGGTTTTTTTTTCTAGCACCAGCCTTAAGGATTCCTGTAAGACAAAGTTGAATGAAAGCAACTGAAATGACTTTAAGTGGGGCTTTATGTATATGCAAACTGCAACCAATACATAACTTTAACAGATTTTATTGATGTCTACATCTGTGTTGGACATCACGTTCATTACACTAATTTTTAAGGGAAATTTCTCAAGTTCATTTGTTAAATAACCATTCATCCTTCATTCATTTGGATTACAGATGTGCAGTTCATTTAAATTTGGTTTTGTCTCATGGGAATTTTTCAACATCAGATGTTGCATGTTATTTTTTCCTTAATCTTAAAGTTTTATGCTTGCACTTTCTTACTTTTTTTATATTTTAAATATGATATGCAAACATTTATTTTCTATTAATATAAATACCTTATATAAACAACTATTTTTTTGGCTTATTTAGACAAAGACTAGAACAAGTAATTGTTAACACTTGGCTTCCGTCACCATTAATATTTTCAATAACCAAAAAACATTCTTGATTGAAACCACTTGGTCTACTTAAAAAAGCCTGCTTTGTCATGAAAGGATTTTGATGACATACTTTTGTTTTATAGGTAAACTCTTCTCCTGTTGACACTGTCATCTGTATCTGCTCCACTTCACTTTGTCATTAAAACAATCCTGCTCCGATTAATATTGTCATCAACAAAGAATGCTCCCCTTGATATCTGTCATCAGTTAACTATGCTCCCATTCATATTGTAGTCTGTAAAGTTTGCCTCCTTTCATGCTGTCACCAGTAAAATCTGCTCCCCTTCATATTATCATCAGTTAACTCTGCTCCCCTTCATATTATCATTAGTTAACTCTGCTCCCCTTCACAATGTCACCAGTTTAAAAGTTGGCTCTCCTTCACATTTTCATCAGTAAACAGCCTAATCCCCTTCAAAGTCATCAGTAAATTTTCTCCTTGCATTGTCATTTGTAAACTCTCCTGACCCTTATAGTCATCAGTAATCTCTGCTCTTCTTCACATTTTCATCAGTATATTTTGCTCTCCTTCACATTGTCATAAGTAAATTCAGCTTCCCTTCTCATTGTCACAAGTAAACTCTGCTCCCCTTCACATTGTCATAAGTAAATTCTGCCTCCTTCACATTGTCACCAGAAGACTTGCTCCCCTTCACATTGTCATTAGTAAATTCTGCCCTCCTTCAAGTTGTCACCAGTAAACACTGCTCTCCTTCAAATTGTCATAATTAAATTCTGCCCCCTTTACATTGTGACCAGTAAACTCTGCTCTCCTTCACATTGTCGGCAGTTATCTCTGATCCCTTCACATTGTCACCAGTAATCCCTGTTCCCCTTCACATTGTCACCAGTATTCTCTGCTCCCCTTTACTTGTCACCAGTTATCTCTGATCCCTTCACATTGTCACTAGTAATCTCTGCTCCCCTTCATATTGTCACCAGTAGTCTCTGCTCCCCTTTACATTGTCACCAGTTATCTCTGGTCCCTTCACATTGTCACCAGTTATCTATGATCCCTTCACAGATTACTAGTAATCTCTGATCCCCTTCACATTGTCACCAGTTATCCCTGATCCCTTCACATTGTCCCATCAATTATCTCTGATCCCTTCACATTGTCACCAGTTATCTCTGATCCCTTAACATTGTCGTCAGTTATCTCTGATCCCTTCACATTGTCACTAGTAATCTCTGCTCCCCTTCATATTGTCACCAGTAGTCTCTGCTCCCCTTTACATTGTCACCAGTTATCTCTGATCCCTTCACATTGTCACCAGTTATCTATGATCCCTTCACAGGTTACTAGTAATCTCTGATCCCTTCACATTGTCACCAGTTATCTCTGATCCCTTCACATTGTCGTCAGTTATCTCTGATCCCTTTACATTGTCATCAGTTATCTCTGCTCTCCTTCACATTTTTACCAGTTATTTATGCTCACCTTCATATTGTGACCAGTTATCTATGATCCCTTCACATGTTACTAATAATCTCTGCTCCCGTTCACATTGTTATCAATTATATCTGTTCCCTTCACATTGTCATCAGTTATCTCTGATTCCTTCACATTGTCATCAGTTATCTCTGATCCCTTCACATTGTCATCAGTTATATCTGTTCCCTTCACATTGTCATCAGTTATCTCTGATCCCTTCTCATTGTCATCAGTTATCTCTGATCCTTTCACATTGTCATCAGTTATCTCTGATCCCTTCACATTGTCATCAGTTATCTCTGATCCCTTCACATTGTCATCAGTTATATCTGTTCCCTTCACATTGTCATCAGTTATCTCTGATCCCTTCTCATTGTCGCCAGTTATCTCTGCCCCACTTCTCATTGTCACCAGTAATCCCTGCTACCCTTCACATTGTCACCAATAATTCTGGCTCCCCTTCACATTGTCATCAATTATCTCTGATCCCTTCACATTGTCACTAGTAATCTCCGCTCCCCTTCATATTGTCACCAGTAATCTCTTCTCCCTTCACATTATCACCAGTTATCTGTACCCCCTTTGCATGTTACTAATAATCTATGCTCCCTTACACATTGTCACCAGTAATCCCTGCTCCCCTTCACATTGTCATTAATTATCTCTGATCCCTTCACATTGTCATCAGTTATCTCTGATCCCTTCACATTGTCACCAGTTAATTCTGATCCCTTCACATTGTCACCAGTTATCTCTGATCCCTTCCACATTGTCATCAGTTATCTCTGCTCCTGTTCACATTGTTATCAATTATATCTGTTCCCTTCACATTGTCATCAGTTATCTCTGATCCCTTCACATTGTCATCAGTTATCTCTGATCCCTTCACATTGTCACCAGTTATCTCTGATCCCTTCACATTGTCATCAGTTATCTCTGCTCCCGTTCACATTGTTATCAATTATATCTTCCCTTCACATTGTCATCAGTTATCTCTGATCCCTTCACTTTGTCATCAGTTATCTCTTATCCCTCCACATTGTCATCAGTTATCTCTGATCCCTTCACTTTGTCATCAGTTATCTCTGATCCCTTCACATTGTCATCAGTTATCTCTGATCCCTTCACATTGTCATCAGTTATCTCTGATCCCTTCACATTGTCACCAGTTATCTCTGATCCCTTCACATTGTCATCAGTTATCTCTGATCCCTTCACATTGTCATCAGTTATCTCTAATCTCTTCCACATTGTCATCAGTTATCTCTGATCCCTTCACATTATCATCAGTTATCTCTGATCCCTTCACATTGTCATAAGTAAACTGTGTTCTTGTTTGCATTGTTATTTGGCAAATTTGTTCCTGTCTTTATTTATGTAGGTTAATTCTGCTCCTGTTAACATTTTCTTTTGCTGACTTTTATTTTCATTTATTAGTTTGAACTCTCAATTTTATATATTTTTTTTAATTCTAGATTAATATTTTTTATTACCAGTAAATTTTGAAATATATATTGTATAGATTTCAATCATGTTGTGGGTCAGGACCAGAATTCAAATATCCATGTACAAAAATAAATTTCTGTGAAAAGTTATTTTAAATTACAAATTTTAGATTTTTTGGGTCAAATTTCAACATTAGAGTAGACATATTAACTGGTTTATAAAATCACTTGGAATATTTGTATTTAATGTGTGCAATTTTTGTTTGCCACACTTCAGGATCTATAACTCTGACAGAATTACAGATAAATGAGAGGTCTGGTTCTCCTAGAATACAATGTAAGTACTGCGAGAACCAGAGTGAAGCTGACATCTTGTTCCTTTTGAGCATGTGTAGAAATACTTGAATTTTTATGTTGTCCTTCTCTAGTTCTATTGTGTGCAATATTTATTTTCACTTCTTGTCTTTTCTAGGATATTAGAAAAGGATGGGAACTTTTATTTCATCTTTTTCTTTCTTGATATCAGAATTCCTGAATGCCACATTACCTTTTATTTGATTCTTTCCTGTAATTGTTGCTCTAACTATATAAGCTAAGTTAGATTGATATTATTTTCCACATTGTGAAAGATAATATTATTCTAGAAGAAAAAGGGGTTCTGTGGCAGTTTGTCTTTCAAAGCTTTCAATAGTGTCTTATAACTGGTTCTCTTTATCGTCACAAAGTTTCCATGCAGTGTTTTATATATGTGCCTATGCTTTCTGTCTTTGAAGCTTGTATTGGTAGATTGTCCCATTAAGCTGCATATATTAACTGTTAGATGTCAAATTTTTGCACTGTACCATAGAAATAAGCAGAATTTCACATTTGTAAAATATTTTATTTTTATCAGTGTTGTAATAAAAAATAGTGTTTTAGCTTTAATTGGTCTGCATGCTGATATTTTATTTTGTTCTAATGTTAGCTAAGAAAGGATCATTTCCATATTAGAGTATTGAAATAGAATGTAAAGTAAGATCAAGGGTTGTCTTTGTGACATTCAAGTTTTATGTTTTATATGCTAGATTGTCTAGATATTCTTTGTTCTAGAACTGTTGATAGAAATCACAGAATGTTAAAATACACATATATATATATGTCAAAATTTTGGCACATGTCATGGTGTTGTCTTAAAATTCTGTTCATTTAATCATAGACTATTTTGTCATTTAAATTTTTGTTCTTTCGTTATGTAAATAAAAAGACTTAAAGACATGACTCAATGTAAGGTCAGAGGTGGTTTTTTTAACAAAAAAAGTAAATAAATTATTTAATGGATACACATATAAACAAAAAGAATCAAATTTCCTCTGTTGCATAAGATTTGTCAGAATATAGGACTATTAGAGTCTGTATGTGCATTTAAAGACTGATAGTAGGTTTTCACATTTGAAGTGCAAAAAAAGGCAGAAACTTTAGCTAGTGTCTATGTAGCATTTACAACTTGAAAACAGTGTTTAGTAACTTAAATGGTTGATACTTTGGGAAATGAAACTAAATTCAAGGTTTCAATGGTTTACATAATAGTTATATGTCTCATCCCATTTAGGAATGGCAGTACAATATATGATTTTATACTGGATCTTATGAAACTTGTTCAGTTGATTTGTGGGTTCCTTAGTGGCTGAGTGGTCTAATTAGTTCATCTACAGACTAGTGATCACAAGCCTGTTAACTCTGAGGTTTACCAAGCTCGTAGTGAGGTGTGTTTGATTCTGATCTTAATTTCACAAGGATTTCCAGTCATTCTGCCAAAATTCGATTTCCTCAACTAAAAAAATCTACAGCAATGATTTAGCCAAGGTAGATCCCTCTTTCCAGCTCCACTAACGGGGGAAATTATGTGTGGTGACCTTTTTATGCCCCCGCCATAGGGGAGGGGGCATTAAATTTTACCCTTGTCCGTCTGTCCGTCTGTACGTCCGTACGTCCCAAAATTGGTTTCCGTTCTGTAACTTGAGTTTGCCTCATCACTTTTACCGTTCTAGAGTTATGCCCCTTTATAAATGGAAAAATTACAAAATTTTTAGTTTCCGTTCTCTAACTTAAGTTTGCCTCAACAAAATGTTATGAAACTTATACACAATGCCTATTACCACAAAACACAGATCAAGTTTGAATTTTGGTAGCGTCACTTTAACCGTTCTAGAGTTATGCCCCTTTATAAATGGAAAAATTGCAAAATTTTTATTTTCTTCTAAATATCAAGTAATTTTTAAAATTGGAGTTATCTTCCTTTGTCCATGATTATAGTTGAATCAACTACAATCAATGCTTTATACAATGCAATGGTTAATTTTGACTTCCACTGATAAAACACAGATCAAGTTGAATTTGGGTAGTGTGACTTTAACCATTATTGAGTTATGCCCCTTTATAAATCGAAAGATTGCAAAATTTTTAGTTTCCATTCTGTAACACAAGTTTGCCCCAACCAAACATTATGAAACCTATACACAATATTCATTACCACAAAACTAAGATCAAGTACAATTTTTTTGTTTCCGTTTTCTAACTTTAGTTTGCCTCAACCAAATGTTATGAAACTTATACACAATGCTTATTACTACATAATACAGATTAAGTACGAAATTTGGTGGCGACACTTTAACCATTCTTGAGTTATGTCCCTTTATAAACATAGAAATTGCTGAATTTTTCTTTTCTGTTCTCTAACTTTAGTTTGTCTCAATCAAATGTTATAAAACTTATACACAACCGTTCTAGAGTTATGCATGTTTACAAATAGAAAAATTGCTGAATTTTTCGTTTCTGTTCTCTACTTAAGTTAGCCTCAACCAAATGTTATGAGACTTACACACAATGCTTATTACCACAAAACTCAGATCAAGTTCAAATTTGGGTAGCGTCACTTTTACCGTTCTTCAGTTATGTCCCTTTATAACTATATGATATGCAAGCGGGGGCATCATCTGTGTCCACATGTGGACACTATCCACATTTATTTCTTTCAAATTTTGTTTTAAGATACATAGTATTTAAATATTTGAGGACAAACAAATAAAATTTAAATATCAATACTTGGATATTATGTTTATAGTTTTGGATGTCTTTTACTTTGCAAATAAGCATTTTTTTGTGCTAGACAAATGTATTGTCAATGGGAGAGATGTGATTTTTATCTCCCTCCTAGATGACAGGTTCAAAGGTTGAGATTTCAAATTTTCAAAGGAAAATGAAAGACTCTCATCTGTGTAACCAACAAAGATAATTTAATTATTACTATAAGAAGTGGTCAGGTTAAGTTTTCAGGGTTAGGTATCCATGATATCTAAATAATATCTAATACTTGAATTAGCTACAAGGAGTAATATGTCTGATATTTTCAGCGTAATTCTTCTGTGGTCAGGTTATGTTTTTGATAGGGTTTGTATCTAAGAAATTATACATGATTATTTAAAACAGCTATTCATGAGAGGTCAAAATGAATAAAAGGAAATGTGTGCCTTGTGGGCTAAACATCAGAGAGGCAACAACCCAACAATATTTGGTATGTTGTTAGCTCTTACGAAGAACATGTCTGTTCAACAAAATATATGGCCTCTTTTTCATACTACAGTGGACAGGTTTAAATTTTTGATAATTTTTTTTTATCTCTGAAATTAAACATGATAAGTTGGAAATTGTGTGTATAAGAATTCTCTTCTTGCATTTGAACAGCAGATATGCACACTTGACAGACTTTTTTTCTTGACCTCATTTGTAGAGTTATAGCCCTTTAAAATACTTTAGATATTGAAGCAGATTGTGCATATTAGTGTGTCTGTCTTGTTTAAAAATAGCATTGTGATTTAAAATTGATGTAAACATTTACAATAAGTAATTGAAGTGTTATTTTGTCTTCTGATCCCTGATTCTACTGTAAAAAGTGAAGTTTGTTGAAACATGTTTATTTTCATTGACCAGGTGAGTAAAACAAACATTGTGGTAGACTATAACAATACCCTCTGCTTCCACATTAGTGTATTCCTCAATAGTCCTAGTCATTTATGGTCACTCAAGAATGTAGTGTAAAATCAGGTCTTAGATTTATGACATATCAGGAATATTTAGGGAATTTTAATAGGTTCTTGTCAGTGTATGAACCTCATTAAACCCTTATTTGAATAATTCATTTATGTCACTAATAACGCTGGTTGATAATATTTGAACTATTGTCAGTATTTGAGATACTTTTAAACAAATAAAGTATTTATTGAGGATAATTTGAGGCATATCAGTGCAGAAACTACAAACCTCTACAGTTTTTAGAGTAAAGTATTCTTGATTATTTCAATAGGTAGAAAACAAGAAATAATTAAGCTGACAGAACAGCTGATATCAGCCATAACTGGGGGAGATTATGAAGCATATACGTAAGTATAAAAACCCAACCTTTGATCTAATTCTATCACACAGTGAAACATGTCTCAAGCAATTTATTGTAAACTAGAGGACATCTGTGAATATTCTTTAGTTAATTTAACATGTGTAAACTGAACATAATTAGAACAAAACCAACAGTTCCAAAGTGGTTTGTTTTAGACATATTCACTATGATGAATATGAAATTTTTGGTATATAAAATGTCTGACATCAAACTGAGAGAACTCAAGTGATGAACAAAGCCAATTGAAAAGAAAATGGCCACTAAAAATCACTACAGTCCTGTTTGTAAAACTCTTTCATCTTAACCTACATCATAGTTTTCTTTAGATAAACATTACCAGAACTCAGTGCCCATCAACAAAATAGATTAGCAAAGTATGGATGCTCTGTAGTGAAAAGTTGATAAGTAAAGACCACAATATATAATTGAAGCACAATATTCACAACTACTGATACCAAACCTAATATATTATCTTCTCTGTACATTTTAGAGATGAGCTGTTCTTTCTTTTCTTGAGCTAATTTAGTCTCAAGTATGTATATGATGAAAAATTATGACCAAATTTTTTTTATGCCCCCTCAACTGAAAGTTGGGGGGCATATTGTTGTACCCCTGTCCATCCGTCCGTCCGTCCCATTATAGGTATATAGCTATTCCACACAACTCCTCCTACAGTTTGAATGTTAGGAAGTTTTCACTTTGCTGGCTGCTTGTACATATATTGAAGGTGTGCATGTGGTCAGGGTTTTGGTTTTTATTGATATTTGCTCTTTTGTTAATTTAATTATACCCCCGCTTTAAAAAAGTGGGGGTATACTGTTTTACCTCTGTCTGTCCTTCCGTCAGTCCATCCATCCATCCATCCGTCAGTCCGTCCGTCCCATGAATATTTTTGTCACATTTTTCTCAGGAACTACTTGACAAGGATTTCTGAAATTTGGTTTCAGGGTTTATATAAGTAAGTTACACCGTGTGATGCGTTTTCAGATTCATCACTCAACAACTTCCTGTTTACCGAACACTTGTATTATTTTACACATGATAGCCAAGTTGAAAATTTTCGTCACATTTTTCTCAGGAACTTGACTCCAGATAGCTTCGGTCAAAATTATTCTCAACATCCTGAAGATATAACAAGCAATTTGGGAAAATAAATTTGTCGTAATCTTTTACGGTTGCGAAGGAGTAGTGGACACAAGAAAAACAGTGTTGGGAGAGATAACTCTCACAATTAAAAAAGTTCAGTTCAACAGGGTCAGTTTTTATACGACCGCAAAAAAATTTTTGTGGTCGTATATTGGTATGACGTTGGCGTCGTCGTCGTCCGAAGACGCATTAGTTTTCGCACTCTAACTTTAGTTTAAGTGAATGGATCTCTATGAAATTTTACCATAAGGTTCAATACAACAAAAGGAAGGTGGGGATTGATTTTGGGGGTTATGGTACCAACAGTTAAGGAATTAGGGGCCAAAAATAAGCATTTTCTAGTTTCCAGACAATAACTGTGGAACGGTGTATGGATCTCTCTGAAATTATACTACAAGTTTCCATACGACAAAGGGATGGTTAGGATTAGCTTTTAGGGGTTATGGCTCAAACCGTTTAAGAATTAGGGGCAAAAAAGGGGGAAAAACAAGGTTGTCCTGGTTAATGGACAAATACTTTAGTACAAAACATAATTTAAAGCAGTGTAAGGGAGATAAATCAAATACATCATTGAAATTATCTCCCTTACACTGCTTTTAAATTATGTATAAAGTAATGGTTAATGAACAATAAAGATAATTTAAAACAGTGTAAGGGAGGTAATCCAAATACAACGTTTTGGTTACTTCCCTTACACTGCTTTTAAATTATGTTTAAAGAAATGCATATTTATAAAGGAGGACCAGTAAAAATATCTGCAAATGTTGCATCTTTTTTTTTTACAAAAAAATCCATATGAAAGATTTGACACTATATTTTAAATTCTATTATAAAATAGATTAAGTTAGCACTATGGTAAATTTAAATGGGTAATTATGGTTTGGGGGAAAAAATGGGGGGGGGGGGTTGAAAAGAAATTGTGGGGGGTCAATTTTTACTCATTTCAGATTTCAGAAATGAAAAAGAATTATTCTTCAAATATTATTTTTTTTTCAAATTTCAAATATTGAAAAATTTCAAGAAGTAATCTTTAATTGCACAGTATGGCGCATTAGATTTGTAAAATCTTTGACCACATTTATTTATTTGTTATGCCGAATCTAACGATGTATTTAGATTTTTAATTTTGGATCCAGTTTTCAAATTGGTCTACATTAAGGTCCAAAGGGTCCAAAATTAAAATTTGTTTGATTTTAACAAAAATTGAATATATGGGGTTCTTTGATATGCTGAATCTAAACATGTATTTAGATTTTTGATTTTCGGCCCAGTTTTCAAGTTGGTCCAAATTGGGGTCCAAAATTAAACTTTGTTTGATTTAAACAAAAATTGAATATATGGGGTTCTTTGATATGCTGAATCTAACCATGTATTTAGATTTTTTATTTGTGGACCCCGCTATCAAATTGGTTCATATTGAGGTCAAAAGGGTCCAAAATTAAACTTTGTTTGATTTCATCAAAAATTGAATTATTGGGGTTCTTTGATATGCCAAATCTAACCGTGTATTTAGATTTTTAATTTTTGGGTCCCGTTTTTTAAATTGGTCTACATTAAGGTCCAAAGGGTCCAAAATTAAACTTAGTTTGATTTTAACAAAAATTGAATTCTTGGGGTTCTTTGATATGCTGAATCTAAACATGTGTTTAGATTTTTGATTATGGGACCAGTTTTCAAGTTGGTCCAAGTTGGGGTCCAAAATTAAACTTTGTTTGATTTCAACAAAAATTGAATATATGGGGTTCTTTGATATGCTGAATCTAAACATGTATTTAGATTTTAGATTTTTGGCCCAGTTTTCAAGTTGGTCCAAACTAGGGTCCAAAATTAAACTTTGTTTGATTTCAACAAAAATTGAATATATGGGGTTCTTTGATATGCTGAATCTTACCATGTATTTAGATTTTTTATTTGTGGGGCCGCTATCAAATTGGTTCATATTGAGGTCAAAAGGGTCCAAAATTAAACTTTGTTTGATTTCATCAAAAATTGAATTATTGGGGTTCTTTGATATGCCAAATCTAACCGTGTTTTTAGATTTTTAATTTTGGGTCCCGTTTTTTAAATTGGTCTACATTAAGGTCCAAAGGGTCCAAAATTAAACTTAATTTGATTTTAACAAAAAATGAATTCTTGGGGTACTTTGATATGCTGAATCTAAACATGTGTTTAGATTTTTGATTATGGGACCAGTTTTCAAGTTTGTCCAAGTTGGGGTCCAAAATTAAACTTTGTTTGATTTCAACAAAAATTGAATATATGGGGTTCTTTGATATGCTGAATCTAACCATGTATTTTGATTTTGGACATTGGACCATAATAGGTAAATTAAAAAAATTGAAGTTCTTAGACCACATTCTTTCTGTGTCAGAAACCTATGCTGTGTCAAATATTTAATCACAATCCAAATTCAGAGCTGTATCAAGCTTGAATGTTGTGTCCATACTTGCCCCAACTGTTCAGGGTTCGACCTCTGCGGTCGTATCAAGCTGCGCCCAGCGAAGCATTTTATTAAAAGTTCTTAAACTGTTCGATATCATATTTCAAAAATCTTAGTGACATCTTGTGAAATAATAATACTGCGCAAGAAAAAAAATTAGGCGGAAGGAAAAAAAAAAAAAAAATCAATAGGTCTTTCCACGGAAAAGTGGAAAGACCTACTTATTCAGTTTTAGTTCTGATTTTTATTTCTGACAGGGGAGTATTGGTTTTACTGTGACAGTAAACTTAAAACTAATCTCTGTTTTATGATGAAGATATCACAAAAACAAGTTCACCGACATTCCACACATCAAAGGATGTTCTGCTAAAAGAAAACAAGATATTAATCAGATAACATTAAATTTCAGACCTGCCAACTATCCAGATGTATGAGGGATATCTCCCATGAGAGGTGTTGACCTGAATTTTGAAATTCTTTATTATATAAACTGAACACCACAAAACAGTTTAAGGTGGCTTAAATAAAATCCATAGAATTTTTTAATAATTTGTCAAAATGAAGTTTTTATCATGCTTTTTTCAAAAATATAATAAAAAGTATGGCTCACCGGACTTTTTTTCACGCTACAAGTTGTGCAAAATTGTCAGATTTTGTATAGATTATCCATGGAAAATCCAGTTTTGTGTGATATAAAGAAAACTACATGATAGAATTTTAAGATAAAATGTGAGAAGTTAGCTCTTATAACATGCTTTCAGATAAGAAAAAGAAAAAATGGGGTCACCGAACTTGTTTTCTTGCTACATATTAAAATAGGTAAATTCACAACACTTTTCTATTATAAAATTACTTTATCTGAGTTATCTCCCCTACTATTTGAGTTATCTCCCCTTATTTGGCAAAGTTGAAAAAAAAATGATCAGACACAAATATGGTGTTTTTTAGAAATTTCAGCCGTAAATATGATAAAACACATAATTTTCTATATTTACACCAAAAGTCTTACACATGAATTACATACTACTCTCAAAATTTGCACATTACATTAAAGATCTAGACCAACTGGTATCTGCTACTTCAAAATCCAAGATGGAGGAAGACACCCGAGCCACCTTAAGCACATATATACTCATTCAAACAATATAGAAGTAGATTAAGAACACTTTTGACAATATAAGAGGAGCATTGGTCCCCTTGCACTTAAAATTCCCCATGGAGATTTTGGAAAGTTGGCAGGTATGACATTTAGTCAATGAAAGTAACCATAACCAAGTAAAAATTTTTGTCTTTGGTCTCTTAGTTGTTGCCTTTAAGGTCTATAGTTAAAATTGGTAAACAAAATAGTAATAGTTTACTGAAACTGCTACAATGGTTTATATATATAATGTTTGTTTACAGGAAATTTGTAGATCCCCATGTTACATGTTTTGAGCCAGAAGCATTAGGAAATCTGATTATTGGAATGGACTTCCATAAATTTTATTTTGATCATGGTAAGTTAAAAAGTATAATATATATGCTAGCTATAAAACCAGGTTTAATCCACCATTTTCTACATAAGGAAATGCCTGTACCAAGTCAGGAATATGACAGCTGTTTTCCATTTGTTTGATGTGTTTGAGCTTTTGATTTTGCCATTTGATGAGGGACTTTCTGTTTTGAATTTTCCTTGTATTCAGTATTTTTGTTATTTTACTTTTTAGCTCACCTGGCCCTAAGTGAGCTTTTCTCATCATTTGGCGTCCGGCGTCCGTAATCATTGTCGTCCGTTAACTTTTACAAAAATCTTCTCCTCTGAAACTACTTGGTCACAATCATCATTGGGGTATCTTGTTTTAAAAAATGTATCCGATGACCCCGTCTGCCAACCTTGATGGCAGACATGGCTAAAAATAGAACAATGGGGTAAAATGCAAGTTTTATCTATTATTTTGAAAATCGTTATAAATAGAGAAAATCTGACAAGAGCAAAAAAATGCAGAATGTTTTCTACCTTTTGTTCATTAACGTCAAAACTGTCAGGCAACTTCTTATGGGAGTTATTGCCCTTAAATGACAAATTTTACCATTTTTAGCTCACCTGGCCCAAAGGACCAAGAGCTTTTCTCATCACTTGGCATCCGTCATCTGTCGTCGTCGTCGTCTTTTAAACTTTTTACATTTTGAACTTCTTCTAGAGAACCACTGAATGGAATGAAACCAAACATGGCAAGAATGTTCCTTATGAGGTGCTGACCAAGTGTTGTTACTTTGTAGCCGATCCATCATCCAAGATGGCCACCAGCGGGGGACTTCATTTAACATAGGACCCTATGGACAATACATACAAATGTCTTCTTTTAGAGAACCACTGAATGGAATGAAACCAAACATGGCATGAATGTTCCTTATGAGGTGCTGACCAAGTGTTGTTACTTTGAAGCTGATCCATTATCCAAGATGGCCACCAGCGGGGGACTTTGTTTAACATAGGATCCTATGGACAATACATACAAATATCTTCTTTTAGAGAACCACTAAATGGAATGAATGTTGCTTATGAGGTGCTGACCAAGTGTTGTTACTTTGTAGCCATTCCATCATCCAAGATGGCCGCCAGCAGGGGACTTCGTTTAACATAGGACCCTATGGACAATACATAAAAATGTCTTCTTTAAGAGAACCACTGAATGGAATGAAACCAAACATGGCATGAATGTTCCTTATGAGGTGCTGACCAAGTGTTGTTACTTTGATGCTGATCCATCATCCAAGATGGCCACCAGAGAGGGACTTAGTTTAACATAGGAACCTTTGGGAAATACATACAAATGTCTTCTTTTAGAGAACCACTTAATGGAATGAAATAAAACATGGCATGAATGTTCCTTATGAGGTGCTGACCAAGTGTTGTAACTATGTAGGCGCTCAATCATCCAAGATGGCTGCCAGCTGGGACTTAGTTTAACATGGGACCCTATGGGAAATACATACAAATGTTTTCTTTTAGAGAACCACTGAATGGAATGAAACCAAACATGGCATGAATGTTCCTAATGAGGTGCTTGCCAAGTGTTGTTACTTTGTAGCCAATTATCCAAGATGGCAACCAGCGGGGAACTTAGTTTAACAAAGGACCCTATGTGAAATACATACAAAAGTCTTCTTTTGAAGAACCACTGAATGGAGTGAAACAAAACATGTTTCTTCTAGAAAAACTGCTTAATGGATTGAAACCAAACATGATATGAATGTTTCTTTTGAGGTGCTGACCAAGTGTTGTTACTTTGTAGCTGATTTGTCATTGTCCTTATAAAGTCATTTTCTACAATTTCAATGAATTTATTGGTAATTTCTGTAAACTTAAAAAAAGTCTTCTGCTTTTGATTAAATTATGGGGCCAATATTAAACCAAATTTGGCCTCAATCATTATTAGGGTATCTGTTATGATTTTAATCTATTTTAACATGATTTCCAAAACCGAAGTAGAATCAGGTGAGAGACACAGTTTTTTCATTTTTGCCTTCCCTTGAAAACTATAATAGAAATAGAGAAACTTAAATTAGCAAAATTAATCAGCAAGACAGGATCGACAAATAAGTATGTATGGTGGAAATCGTCAGTTTACTCCTAATTAGAGTTATTGCCCTTTGATGACGATTTTTACCAATATTTTGCGTTTTGCTTTATAACTTAAAAATTATAATAGATAGATAGATAGAAACTTAAATAAGCAAAAATAATCAGCAAGACAAGATCTACATTTCAGACAACATGGAGGAAATTTTATAATGACACCTTATTGGAGTTATTGCCCTTTAAAGACAATTTTTACCAATTTTTTGGTGTTTTGCCTTTTATGATGAAAATTCTAATAGATAAATAGAAACTTTAAATAACAAAAATGATCAGCAAGGCAAGATCTAAAAACAAGTCAAATTTTGCCGATATGGTTAGTGGACTGTCACTCTTCATAGGATTGATTGCCCTTAAATGAGGATTTTTTTACCCTCTTTTTGTTTTGAGCAAAAACTAAAGAAGATAGAGAGAAACTAAACAGACAAAATGATTAGCAATACAAGATCAACAAAAAAGAAATTTTGTCATGAATTCTGTTCTTGTCTACAATGTTGGAGAGTCCATTGTTGATTATGCACATAGACCTAGGTGATCGACACAGGCTTTTTAGAGCCTCTAGTTTATATAATGTAATTTAATTCAATCAATTAGACATGAATGTACAACTGTGATATAAAGATAAGGAGATGTGGTATGATAGCCAATGAGACAAGTATCCATAAAGATTAAAAGGCAAAGATGTGAACAATTACATGTCACTGTACGACCTTCAACAATGAGCAAAGCTCATAGTGTATAATAAGCTATAAAAGGCCTGGGCATAAAGAAATGTAAAAAAATCGTTGAAATTACACTTTAGAAGATTTAAGTTCAATATAAAACATTAAGTAAGGTACAATGCAAAATGAAATAGATACATACAGATATATATATATATGTATCTATGTCTAGAAAAACACCAAAAAAACAATGATATATGATGGTAAATGATAAAAAAAAAACATAATAGAACTTGACAAATATAGTGGACACTATAGCAACTTTCATTGATCATCATCTACCGAATAATCAAAGACACATATACAAAATTAAAGAGAAGAACACAAAGGCTAGATACCAAGAACAAAAGCTATGCTAAAAATATCTTGTAACATTAAGAAACAAGATTCATGTAACATAAAGTTATCTCTTTGTTTATCTTCAACATACTCATGTATTGTACACAGTATGTTATAGGATTCACCAAATTATGTGAAAATGTAAATATGTAGGGCTACTAAGAGGTCAGGGCATATGGTTCTATACTGTAGTTACATAATGCTGAGTAACATATTAAGATTTCTTAGGGTATACTTACTTTTTATACGACCGCAAAAATTGAAAATTTTTTGGTCGTATATTGGTATGACGTTGGCGTCGTCGTCGTCGTCGTCCGGCGTCGTCCGAAGACACATTGGTTTTCGCACTCTAACTTTAGTTTAAGTGAATGGATCTCCATGAAATTTTACCATAAGGTTCAATACCACGAAAGGAAGGTGGGGATTGATTTTGGGGGTTATGGTACCAACAGTTAAGGAACTAGGGGCCAAAAAGGGGCCAAAAATAAGCATTTTTGTAACTTCCAGACAATAACTTGTGTGTAAGTGTATGGATCTCTCTGACATTGTACCACAAGGTTCCATATCACAAAGGGAAGGCTGTAATTGATTTTGGGGGTAATTGCCTCAAAATTTTAGGAATTAGGGGCCAAAAAAGGGGCAAAAAACAAGCATTTTTCTAGTTTCATGACAATAACTTGTGTGTAAGTGTTTGGATATTTCTGAAATTGTACTACAAGGTTCCATATCACAAAGGGAAAGCTGGAATTGAGTTTGGGGGTAATTGCCCGAAACGTTTAGGAATTGGGGGCCAAAAAGGGGCCAAAAATAAGCATTTTTCTAGTTTCCAGACAATAACTTGTGTTCAAGTGTATGGATCTCTCTGAAATTGTACTGCAAGGTACCATACCACAAAGGGAAGGCTGGGATTGAGTTTGGGGGTGATGAATCATAAGGGGGTTCAAATAATTTGGGGGGGGGATTTTTTTTTTTTCTTTTTTTCCTTTTTTTTTTCTTTTTTTTTTTCTTTTAAAATTTTCCATTTTAAGTTGGTTATTTCTGATTAATATTTAAAAGCAAATAATAATGATATGGTAGGAGATACACACCAAACAGGATGTGTAAATTATTATATAATAAGTATTGTGCAATAGCAAGAAATTTTCAATTGCACAGTATTGCACAATTGCAAGAAATCTTCAATTGCACAGTATTGCGCAATAGCAAGAAATCTCAATTGCACAGTATTGGGCAATAGCAAGAAATATCCAATAGCACAATATTGCGCAATAGCAAGAAATTGTCAATTGTACAGTATTGCACAATAGCAAGAAATATTCAATTGCACAGTATTGTGCAAAAGAAGATACTTCGTATAAATTGCTTATTTCTTGATCAATTTCAATGGGGTTTTACTCTTGAATTCTTGGGGTTCTTTAATATGCTGAATCTAACCGTGTATTAAGTTTTTGGATTTTGGGCCCCGTTTTTAAATTGGTCCACATTGAGGTCCAAAGGGTCCAAAATTTAACTTTGTTTGATTTCATCAAAAATTGAATTATTGGGGTTCTTTGATATGCCGAATCTAACCGTGTATTTAGATTCTTAATTTTTGGTTCCGTTTTCAAATTGGTCTACATTAAGGTCAAAAGGGTCCAAAATTAAACTTAGTTTGATTTTAACAAAAATTGAATTTTTAAGGTACTTTGATATGCTGAATCTAAACATGTATTTAGATTTTTGATTATGGGCCCAGTTTTCAAGTTGGTCCAAATCGGGGTCCAAAATTAAACTTTGTTTGATTTCAACAAAAATTGAATATATGGGGTTCTTTGATATGCTGAATCTAACCATGTATTTAGATTTTTGATTTTTGGGCCCCATTATCAACTTTGTCCACATTGAGGTCAAAAGGGTCCAAAATTAAACTTCGTTTGATTTCATCAAAAATTGAATTCTTGGGGTTCTTTGATATGCTGAATCTAACCATGTATTTAGATTTTTTATTTGTGGACCCGCTATCAAATTGGTTCATATTGAGGTCAAAAGGGTCCAAAATTAAACTTTGTTTGATTTCATCAAAAATTGAATTATTGGGGTTCTTTGATATGCCAAATCTAACCGTGTATTTAGATTTTTAATTTTGGGTCCCGTTTTTAAATTGGTCTACATTAAGGTCCAAAGGGTCCAAAATTAAACTTAGTTTGATTTTAACAAAAATTGAATTCTTGGGGTTCTTTGATATGCTGAATCTAAACATGTGTTTAGATTTTTGATTATGGGCCCAGTTTTCAAGTTGGTCCAAGTTGGGGTCTAAAATTAAACTTTGTTTGATTTCAACAAAAATTGAATATATGGGGTTCTTTGATATGCTGAATCTTAACATGTATTTAGATTTTAGATTTTTGGCCCAGTTTTCAAGTTGGTCCAAATTGGGGTCCAAAATTAAACTTTGTTTGATTTCAACAAAAATTGAATATATGGGGTTCTTTGATATGCTGAATCTTACCATGTATTTAGATTTTTTATTTGTGGGCCCGCTATCAAATTGGTTCATATTGAGGCAAAAAGGGTCCAAAATTAAATTTTGTTTGATTTCATCAAAAATTGAATTATTGGGGTTCTTTGATATGCCAAATCTAACCGTGTTTTTAGATTTTTAATTTTGGGTCCCGTTTTTTAAATTGATCTACATTAAGATCCAAAGGGTCCAAAATTAAACTTAGTTTGATTTTAACAAAAATTGAATTCTTGGGGTACTTTGATATACTGAATCTAAACATGTGTTTAGATTTTTGATTATGGGACCAGTTTTCAAGTTTGTCCAAGTTGGGGTCCAAAATTAAACTTTGTTTGATTTCAACAAAAATTGAATATATGGGGTTCTTTGATATGCTGAATCTAACCATGTATTTTGATTTTGGACATTGGACCATAATAGGTAAATTAAAAAAATTGAAGTTCTTAGACCACATTCTTTCTGTGTCAGAAACCTATGCTGTGTCAAATATTTAATCACAATCCAAATTCAGAGCTGTATCAAGCTTGAATGTTGTGTCCATACTTGCCCCAACTGTTCAGGGTTCGACCTCTGCGGTCGTATCAAGCTGCGCCCAGCGAAGCATTTTATTATGTATTCCTGTAACACTATTTGTAACACTATTTGTGACATGACATTTTTATTTCATATATTCCTTTGTATATACACATTTATCTTAGTGGATTTGTACACAATCACAGAATTTCTTACAATGGCCAACAAAAATGGGAGTTCCTTGCATTGTCATACCAAATATCTATAAAATTATAATGCTGAAGTTAGAATTAATTCATGTTTCAGTGTAATTCAGTTTATATCCTTTTATTTTTCTTTACTTTTTTTTGTCTTTATAAATCTCTGAATGACATGGGGAATATTAGAAAGTCATTCAGATTCAAATGCATAAACAGATATCAGTTGTACAAAAGTTATCTGTAGTAAAACAGGATTTTCTGGCATGTAATTAGTGATTATTTAAAAGTTTGATGTCAATTTACTATTTTTTTACGTTTTAAACATCATATTATAATATACGTTTAACTGTATGTAATTTATGTTACAATAAATGTTTTGTAGTGTTCTCTAAGAACAATAAGCCAGTAAATACCAGTATCCTGACACCTCATGTTCACTTACTGGGAGAAGATGCAGCTAGTATTGCTTATATCAGATTAACACAGTTCATAGATAGGTTAGTTCAATTACTAAAAGATGCATATACTTTTTTCTGATATCAAACAAAACTAGGGTATATAACTTGATGGAAAGGAAATCCATTAGCCATGATAAAGGAAAACAAATTTGAGCCTCCGCATTGGATATTTGATTTTGTATTCATTCTGTCTTTTTTTATGCGATATTTAATTACTTATTAACTGGCCCAGGACTGTATATGAAGTCTTCTGAGATCAGACAAGGAATGTTTCTTTTATTTTCATAACATCTGAAAATATGTATGTTAGACCCAGATCGAGTTCTGATCTCTAATTGACATCCATTCCACAAATCAGAGTCCACTCTTACGTCACTGTTTCTCAAATTTTTTCATGTAATAAACTTATAAGAGAAACGTCCTGTAGTACCCAGGCTCTCGGTCATAAAACAATACTCAGTACTCCAAAATTTGTGTTTGAAACACTCAATCCAGTGTTTTGATGGTTGGTTTCTGAGTCTGAGTATGATAATTGTACTCAATTGTTTTATGACCACAAGGCCAGAGCGTAGTCAAATAGGAGTCATATCTAATCGGTCCACAATCTGGCTTGAAAATTTATTTTTTTAGCATTGGCTTTTTGTTTTTATGTTCTTGATTATGCCCTTATATACAACATGACAAATCATTATAATGTGACTGAGTTGATTTAAGAACAACAAAGATGGATAAATGTATTGGTATTTTACATGTAGTTGGAAATATTACCAGTATATGCATATCAGGAGGAGATTTGTTGATGTGATATGAATTTGAGTGATTTACATATCAATATCCAGTAGACACCTTTTCCAAGTCATGGCCCAGGTTAGAATAATGTGTCTTAGTGAGGGGGTCTGTCTTCAATTAGATGTTACTGTGTGAGCTAGCACATCAAAAATCTGACATTGATGTAAGGTATGCACCAATTCATTAATCAATCAATCAAACTCAAGCAGTTTTTTAATATTGAACAAAATAGTTTGTGATTTAGAAATTAAGAGGCCAAGATAGCAGGAGCCAATCAAACGAGACATAGTAGCTAAATCACTAGATAAAGATAAAAGATAAATACTTTTGGTTTTTACCCAATATATATTTCATCTGAAACAGTAGTAAGAAATGATGTATAAAGAGAACAACCTCATGCATTGTCTCAAAATATAAATTAGGTATATGAGCTCTTTCAATATCACACACCATATCAACAAGGCCTCCAGGGATTATATTTGCGTTTCTGTCTGATACGGGTGTGATATTGAAAAAGCCATATAGTATTCTCTATATTTCCAGTACAACAGCAGCTATGACAAAAGAACCTTTGACAGGATTTCCCAAAATTAAAACATCAGTATCAACAATTCTTCTTTTACATTGTAGAAGTGGTTTGCCAGTTACAACACAACAAGAAGAAACAAGAGTTTGGCAACGCAAAGATGGAAAATGGCAGAATGTCCATCTCCATAGGTCAGGTGGTTCCTCTGCACCAAACAAATAAGATGGAACACTAAATATGGATAGAAATCTTTTCCATTTTTGCTCATTGGTGTGTCTGCTTTTGTCAAAGGGAGCAGAAGCAGAATTTAATGGCAAAGGAATTCTTCAATCCCTTCCCTTGTCAGTGGTGTACTCATGGTGGTACACACAAGTCAAAAGAATATTTTGTCATTTTAAATGTAACAGTCAAACTTTTTTTTTTAGATTTTTCATAGTGTTTTAATCTTTAAAATTTATATTTATTATAAAATAAAGTTCTGTCTTTATATGGAAAATAATGAGATATTTTATTTATCTCAAATAATATTCTTTCATTTTTTTATGAGTACAGTTGTTGAGAATGATTTATGTATGAAGTTTTTTTTTGGATAGCAGTGAATTCCTAAGATGATGCCTTATGTTAGGTATGGGGTATTTGTTATTTATTTTAATAAATCCCATATTCTATTCATAGAACAAATTGCACTGTAACTAGTAAAGTGAGGAAAGATGGATTTGTAAAGTTGTATTTAGGGGAGTATAATATATGGTACTGGTTAGAGACTGTATCCTCAGATATTTTTATAATATGCAAATTATATACTGATTAGATTTCCTTCTACAACTTGAATATTTTTTCTGGTCTCTCTTTATATGTTTTACTACATATATACAGTTTTATTTATAAACACAATATGTAAAAATTTGATAAGTTTTTCTCCTATATTCTGTACAAAAATACTTTTTTGCTTATATTTTTTTTTTATATTAAAAGAGCATTTTATAGTTTTATTTCTACAGTTTTGTCTATAAATTTTTTTTTTTTTCATAATTTTACAATAGAATTGATTGAATTTACTTCTGATATCCTTTTTCTTTGTGAAGTTGTAAGTTTTGAAAACTTGACAATAAAATTAACTTATATGATTCTTTTAATTGTGTATCTGACATTTCATTCAGAAAATTAGTATATCTGAGTATTTTTTCTCAGAAAAATCATTAAAAAAAAGTGCAATATATGTGTTATATTTGTTTTTCAGATCAGATTTATGTCTGTTTGTTGTATTTTGGATTTCTGGTGTCATATTTTGTCTAACATTTAATACATTCATGATTATTTTTTCCCAAAGAGTTAATTGGAAAGAATACTTGGATTTTCTATGGATAGAATTTACATAAACTTATGCAGCATTATGCAAATTCATTTTTTGAATCTGCTTATCTTACTCAAAAGAGGCCACATCAAATATTTTCTTCTGAATTTTGAGTTACAAGAATTTAAGGGTTGAACTTTAAATTAGATACGATTAAAATAATGATTTTCTTTTTTTTCTTTTGGCAATTTAGATCAAATAATTATAGATATGAATTATTTAGATTATATACTTCAGGATGTACTAAAATAAGTAATGGCATTTGAATAATTCATCCTACCTTACAATTTTATATTTTATAAATTATATATGAGTCAAAATCTTCTGGTATACATTTTTTATAAAGAAGAAAAAATCAACTGTAAGGAAAGATTTTTTTTTTTCATTTCTACAAATAACAATTAATGCCATAGTTAAATACATACATTATACAAGTTTGTTATACTGGAGGAGGGGGATAGTCATTCAAAACTTCTAAATAACAATTAAGATATTCAGACTTGTATTTGTTTCATTAATTAAAGTGTTATGTTGTTAACCCTATATAAGATTTAATCCTTAACATTATTGCATAAGTCTTAAGCTTTACATAATTCAGAATCAAATTCCTCATTGACGTGTAGTATTCTGTTGGTATTCTTCAAGTTGAGTATGTTTGAAGTGTTCAGTGTGCATGTACAGTTAGTTGCCATAAAGTTCTCGGGTCATATTTGTTAGTAGAATGTCTAGTTTTTTTTTGAACATTTTGAAATTACAGAAATTTGAATGCAGTGGCAACATTTTACATACTTTTAGGTATATTAGCTCAGAAATTAAATAGGGGTACTGTATGAAGCTATTGATAGATATTCTGTGTAAATTAAGCAATGGATATCTGGCACATTTGAAGTAATGAAAGATTACAGTGACAAAATGTGGAGTTAATAGAATGTCAATTTCTACATATTTGTCTCTAATTCAGTAACCTGTATTTGGCTGCTGTTTATGTTAATATAATAATCTTCACAATTACTGAACAAAGGTGTTAAATCAACATATAGAGGATGTTTTTAAATTAAAAAAACTGTTCAAGGTGTATTTAATTTATGGAAAAATACATCACTACCAACTAACTTTATACTTTCCAAGTATTACACTGTCTCTGTTTTCATTGTGGAGGATTTTTTTATAAATGTAGTCCATATCTCATATGCATAATAAAAAAATCCCTAGTTTTTTCAAGTTCACCTGCTTTAACAAGGACCCAGTGTGAGATGTTTCGTTAACTTGATGTCCATGTTATATTGTTAATCATTTTCAAAAACTACATGGCTGATGAAATCTGATTTTTCCGGAATCATTTGTAAGGAATTTTCTTGAAAAGTTGTGATTAATTACCCCTCAGTCCAAAAAACATAGGCACTAAAAATAAATCATAGTGGTTAAAGAAGATAAACATGTCAACAGCTTATCTTGGTCCTTATTAGAAATACTTTATAAAAATATTCTTCAGAGACTGATATTATACATGAATGATGCCATGCTATTCCTTCATGAGTTTGTGATTTTGTGACAATCTAAATTCCAACTGTCACATACTTTAATTTATGGGACTTCTTTTTCTTGGAATCTGTTTCACAATTGTGATTGATAATATGATGGTCTCATTTTAAATACAAAACTGGAATTGAAAATGGTGCCACCATGGACTGGATTATTATTGTGCCATTAAAAAATCATTTTATTTTGATGCAGATCTAAATCAGTTGCATCTGTCAGCTTAAACTCTTTCATGAATATTCCACTATAAAACCTTAAAAAAAACTATTAAATGCAGATTTGCTTGCATAAAAAATATCATATTATAAGCGACTTGAAATGAAATTTGTATGTGAAAATCTCTTGGGAAAATGTAATCTGAAAGCACTTAGAATTTTATGCATTGTTTGATTAAACAAAAAATTTGTTCCATTTTCATTTACATTGATTTTTAGAACTAGATCAGAATCATACATAGTTTGTATATTTTCTGGACAGTTAATTTAGTTCTTATAGGGCAAACATTTTATGAAAGTTATGCAGCTACTTTATTGATTTTCAATGTTTATATTAGGTGTACATTTTTTATTTGAATATTTATTTACGATGCTTTGGTCATTTTATTTAATTTGCCGCTTATGTTAATTTTACTGTAATATTTGCTTTTAAAGATAAGAAAATAGACAAATAGATAAAAAATACTGGCAAATAATTTGGTGAAAGTTAGTTATGAAGAGCAAATGATATATTTAGTTTCATTTTCTCTTTAATCTTTTACTAAGGGTAAATATTTTTTGGGTTTTATTCATTAATTAAAGTTATTTAGTGTGCCCAACTGCTATACTGTTTTCATCGGCGGATCCAGGAGGGTGTTTCGGAGGTTGGAACCCCCCTTTTTTTTCCGATTTAAAAAAAAAAAGATTATTTTTTTTTTTTTTTTTAATCATGTGAACGTTTCGTAGTGTTCAGGGGGATTGGAGGAACCCCCCTTCTCAAAATAACTGGATCTGCAACTATGTTTTCCATTTCTTGTCACACTAGCTCAGTACTCAGGGAAAATGATTTTAGTTTATTTATACATATACTTTAGTGGCAACAGTGTGTTTCTGTGGAATCAGTATCATTAGAGTACTCGAGAGAAAAATGGCAAGCATATTAGTATACAAGTAGGAAAAAAATTTACATACCAGTGTACGGTCTGTGATTTCATTATTTAGTAAACCTGCATTTTGTTGACCCAACATAACATGCACAGACTTACAAGAGGAATGTAATTACTTGTCAGCATCCAAATTTTATTTGGTCCCTACCTTTTCAAAATCTGTAGAAATGCTTTAATTTTGAAAGTATAATTTAGACATACATAGTTGTTTATAGGAGGGGAATCTTTGACGAGTTGTCATCTTATTTTAAGTCGATTACAGTTGAAACTTTAAATAAATAATGATAACCAATAGAAATATAAGGTGAATTTTTGACAATCTTTATGCAACTTTTCTTTTTATTCTACTGTTGCTTACTTTTCCTGGTTTTATAGTAATAGGTTTTTGAAAAAAAATACATTATTACTTTCATTTTGATCCTATGCTTTTCTTTATTCTTTTTCTTTTTTATCTAAGTTAGATCTGTTTTTCATTTCATCCATTTCATGTATAACACCATTTACTTGCTTCAAATTCAAGTTCTAATAATATACAGTACAAAATTATCATGTCGAGTCATGGGCTAAATTGAACAAAATACCAGCCATTCATGACAACCAATTTGTAGTACAGGTTCTTAAAGGGATATAGTTGTATTTGCTGCATAACTTTTTAAGTTTAATGTAAAAAATAACTGATCAGTTTAGATAAATAATAACAGTAAAATTGGAAAGTTGGGGTTGAATTAAGGGTATTCATGCAATTCATGTTTGTCCCAATCTACCCGATAAAATTTTTTTCAAAAAGTAAATGAATTAACAGTACAAATTGTAAAGTGCCATTTGAATGGTCCTTTTGTACAGAGCAGGACTTCAGTGGTTATTAGGCTAGGTATAAATGGCTGAACAACATTGCAGGTTTCTTTTTTTGTATTTATAGTACCTTGTTATACATGTAAAATACTTTGTTCCTGAGATTTGCAAGAAGAGATATTTATGCACTCTTTTGAATATGTTCTTCATTCATAGTATCATTACGAGTTGAGTCCATTTTGATATCATATCTAAATTATGGCATCTTGAATACTGGGTCTAAAAGTGAGATGATATTTGGTAATGATCAAAGGTTGTTGTCAGTCAAATGACTGTATACTCTACATTTCTTGACATTTCACCTGTGATAAACATTCTTTTCTAGTTCATTATGATAATCATTTCTAATCATTGATATTTGTTCAAAACTTGATACTTGTACAAAAATAAATCTATGAATTACTGCACAATCACCATTTCTTTTCAGTGGTAAAGAGAACTTACTTAAATGATAGATGAGTTATTCTGACAATAAGTGATTGGTTTACAGAATAGCATTGCCTCTTTAGAAAATACTGCATCTGCATACCATTTTTATTATTTGATAAACATCAACAAATGAAAACTAAGTGGCAAAAATTGGATTTGGGTTATATTTCATATATTGTTTCTTTATATATTTTTACTATCTGGCTTTTGAACAAATATTGATAGATGGATGTTTGCTTAACATTCAGTATTTGAAAAAAAAAAAAGGAAACTTAACTACAAAATGTTTATCTTTAAGGTTGATGCTCAGTAACATTTTAAAAATCCAAATGTAAATTTTTAGGACTGAAATTCTCCCTATTGTAATTATTATTTAGATAAGTGAAGAATTTGATTTGTACAAGCACCTTGTTTTGAATACCATGTTTTACTGCATTATTGTTTTTTATTCCAGATATTATTTATCTTTTTATATATTTTCTGTTTTGTTATTTCATGCATATCATCAAAATTTGTCATTTAGTGAATATGAAAGTGTATAGACATTGTATATATTTTGGATTCATTCCTTTGTCTGGTTGGTTTGATTCCTTGAGTTTGTAATGAACCTGACGTAAATAGCTTTTTTGCCTTTGCTTCTCCCAAGCTACTAATGTACAGAAAGTAATGGAGTACCATTCTGTGAATTTTCCTATTCCACTATTTTAATGAAATGTTTTGATTTGCCAAAGAAAACTAACTGATCCTTATTAGATGGTGAAACAGGTGAATAGTAAAGATGATTTTACAACCATTATGAAGTTGTAGGAATGCAACATCAAGAAAGTTCAATGCCTATTGCCATGGTCAAAAGGAGTAAGTTCGGTAAGGGCCATATTTGGCCCCGATTATAAAGTTCAATGTTACATGATAAAACATGTTTTAAGTTGACTTAAAGACATGTGAGAAAGTTAAATAGAACTATTTGTGTCAAAGTTTTCTTCTAAAGTGTTGATTTTTACATCCCAAATAGGTCAAGATAAGAGATTTTGGGGAAATTTGACAAAATTGGCCGAATTTCAACCAAATTTAGGACCAGGAAACATAGAGCGCAGGCGTCGACAAACTAAATATTCAAGTTAGACATGTAAAATGTCATTACAAATCTTGTTTTAAAAGAAAAGATCTTTTTTGTCGACGTTTGCGCTCTATGTTTCCTGTCCAATAATCCATGTAAATTTACCCATTTTCATTGATTTTTTCATGGAAAATCTAAATGAGTACTATTTGTGACATCATGAATAAAACGCAGGAACGTAAATTTTCAACAAAAAGGCTTATTTCCTATCTAGTCACTGTATTAGCTATGACTCATTGTGATATTGGTCGATAAATCCTAATTTGAAATTTGAGCTAAAAAAGGGGGCCATTGTTTGGCCTTATCGAACCTACTCCTTTAAAGTTCAACTTTTTGCATGTTTAATATGAGAAAAGATTAAGTTTTATTTAGCTTGTATTGTAAGTAAATTTATTAAGACAATATTTATTGTTTGTTTGTTTACTTTATTTATGTATCATACATTTATAAGGCCATGGTGACTCAGACATTTGTCAGATTTATTTTTCCAGATACTGAGTTTTTGAAGTTTTAAAATTTGACTGAAAATACTGATAATTAAGACAATTATACTTAATTTCAGCAATATGATGTTTTTTTTAATACCTGCTTGAACAATCTTATGAATAAAATTTTACATTGGTCAAAGAATGAGAAAAGGGTAAAATTTTATTGCTTTTGTTGGAGAATAAAATACATGTATTTAAAGTATGAAGGTAGATCCTATTCATAATGAATAAGTTGTGCAGGTTCATTTTGTGTGTATGAATTCAATTTTATGTATGTTTGTAACAATGTTGTCCTTCCTCAGCAATTTTTTTCAAATTATATCTGTTTATGTAGTGCTTCAAAATTTTAAAATGTACTTTTCAAATAAATCACATCATAACTTAATTTTTGTTTTCTTTTTTGCAATGTTGCATGTAGTCAGTGGTAAAATGATCCAGGAAATATGATGTATGGTGTTGTACATTTTGCCAGTGATTAATAGATTATGATATTCTGTTTTATGGTACATGTAATCAATGACTGAATCATGCAGGAAACTAAATTGTAAATTCCATCAGTGACACTATGAATTAGCTTTGGATTTTTAGCGGTCCATCAGTACTCCGTCTTTTTTGTTTTTGGATGCTTACTCTCAAGTACTATCTACAGGGCTGCAACCTTACTTGTATCTATGGTCACATAAAATTAGAGGAAGATTCCTTCTGAATTTGAGGTCACAAGTGGACTCACAACATCAAGGGTCAAGGTCAGAGTAGTAATTTCTTGAGGCTAAATAATTGCAACCTTACTTGGATATATGGTCACATATAATGAGAAAAGGATCCCTATTGATTTTAAGGTCACAATGTCCGGTCAAGGTCATAGTTTCTTACCAACACTTGTACAGAAAAGTGGTTTCAGGATGCTAAATCAAATACTAATGGGACTGCAACTTTCCTTGAATACATGATCACACACATATTTTGAGGAAGATCTCTATTGATTTGAAGTCACTCGGTTTAAAGTCTGAATCATAGTTACTAAAATAGAAAATAGATGTGAACTTTTCCACTAAAGGTTCTTTAAATCATATAAAAATATAAGAGATTGTTATATGATTCCTATGAGAAAACTATCCACTAAACAAAAAAGAACAAGGACATTAACTATCACAGGTCATCATAGGGCCATCAACAATGAGCAAAACCCATACCATTGAGTAAGGTCTAAAAGGCCTGGATAACAAAATATAAAACAATACAACACAAAAGCAACGGTCCAATTTAAGTTATACCTTAAAAAAACGACAGTTTCGTTGAGAGATTTTTTTCATTATTTGTTTGATGTTATTTTAATTTGGACAGAATTCTGTGGTTACTATCGTCAAATTAAAACCAACTAAATACTTTGCAGAATCATATACTTGAAATAATGTTGGGTAAGACAGCAACCCAACAAACTAAATAACTACTATCCAAAATATTACATCTCACATTCATAATATGGCTGCAACACTAAATCACCAATTAGTCTTGGTAAGTTGTGAATAAATTCAACAGAAGCTACTGTGGATTAATTTTTATTTGCGAAGTACCAATTTTTGTGGATTTCATGGGTAAAGTTGAACCACTACTTTTAAGATTTCAATCAAGTACAAATTTTATATATGCTTGTATGCAAACTTTGGCAAAACCACGAAAATGTAATCTTTCATCAAACTGCAAAAATTGGTACCAACGAAAAATAAATTAACTAACAGATATCCATATTCAGCACTATATACAATACTCCTACAACTAAAACAATGTGATAATGTCTAGTCAGCTGCTGTTGTTATTCATGTTTATTATGGAGGTCTAGTCAGAGGCTGATTAATCGTGTTTATTATGGAGGTCTAGTAAGAGGCTGATTAATCATGTTTATTATGGATGTGTTGTCTGGTGCTGTTGTTATCATGTTTTTTATGGATGTCTAGTCAGAGGCTGATTAATCGTGTTTATTATGGATGTGTAGTCAGAGGCTGTTGTTGTTCATGTTTATTATGGAGGTCTAGTCAGAGGCTGATTAATCATGTTTATTATTGATGTCTTGTCAGGTGCTGTTGTTATCATGTTTATTTTGGATGTCTAGTTAGAGGCTGATTAATCATGTTTATTATGGATGTGTAGTCAGAGGCTGTTGTTGTTCATGTTCATTATGGATGTCTAGTCAGCTGCTGTTGTTATCATGTTTATTATGGATGTCTAGCCAGCTGCTGTTGTTATCATGATTATTATGGATGTCTAGTCAGCTGCTGTTGTTATCATGTTTATTATGGAGGTCTAGTCAGCTGCGGTTGATTCTCATGTTTATTATGAATGTCTAGTCAGTTGCTGTTGCTTTCATGTTTGTTATGAATGTCTAGTCAGCTGCTGTTGTTATCATGTTTATTATGGATGTCTAGTCAGCTGCTGTTGTTATCATGTTTATCATGGATGTCTAGTTAGCTGCTGGTGTTATCATGTTTATTATGGATGTCTAGTCAGCTGCTGTTGCTTTAATGAATATAGCGAATTTTTAGTCAGTAGCTGTTGTTGATCATGTTTATTATGGCTTGTTAGTCAGCCACTTATTCTTATCTATTATGGATGTCTAGTTAGATGCTGATAAATCTTGTATATTGTTAATTTCTAGTCAGCTGTAGTTGTTAATCATGTTTATTATGAAGGTCTAGACAGAGACTGATAAATCCTTTAATTGTGGACTTCTAGTTAGCTGCTGTTGTTAATCCAGTTTATTATGGAGGTCTAGTCAGCTGTTGTTGTTAATAATGTTTATCATGGAGGTCTAGTCATCTGTTGTTGTTAATGTTTATTATGGAGGTCTAGTCAGCTGCTGTTGTTAATCCTGTTTATTATAGAGGTCAAGTCAGCTACTGTTGTTTATCAGGTTTATTTTTAAAGTCTAGTTGGCTACTGTTGATTCTCATGTTTATCATGGATGTCTAGTAAACTGTTGTTGTAAATCCTTTAATTGTGGATTTCTAGTAAGCTGTTGTTGTTAATAATGTTTATTATGGAGGTCTAGTCATCTGCTGTTGTTAATCCTGTTTATTATGGAGGTCTAGTCAGCTGTTGTTGTAAATGATGATTATCGTGGAGGTCTATTCAGCTGCTGTTGTTAATGATGTTAATTATGGAGGTCTAGTCAGCGGCTGTTGTTAATCCTGTTTATTATAGAGGTCAAGTCAGCTACTGTTGTTTATCAGGTTTATTTTTAATGTCTAGTCGGCTACTGTTGATTCTCATGTTTATCATGGATGTCTAGTAAACTGTTGTTGTAAATCCTTTAATTATGGATTTCTAATAAGCTTTTGTTATTAATGATGTTTATTATGGAGGTCTAGTCATCTGCTGTTGTTAATGATGTTAATTATGGAGGTCTAGTCAGCTGTTGTTGTTAATGATGTTAATGATGGAGGTCTAGTCATCTGCTGTTGTTAATCCTGTTTATTATGGAGGTCTAGTCAGCTGTTGTTGTTAATGATGTTAATGATTGAGGTCTAGTCAGCTGTTATTGTTAATGATGTTTATTATGGAGGTCTAGTCAGCTGTTGTTGTTAATCCTGTTTATTATAGAGGTCAAGTCAGCTTCTGTTGTTTATCAGGTTTATTTTTTAATGTTTAGTCGGCTACTGTTGATTCTCATGTTTATCATGGATGTCTAGTAAACTGTTCTTGTTAATTTTTAAATTGAGGATTTCTAATAAGCTGTTATTGTAAATCATTAAATATAAGAAGATGTGGTATGAGTGCCAATGAGACAACTCTCCATCCAAGTCAAAATTTATAAAAGTAAACCATTATAGGTCACAGTACGGTCTTCAACACGGAGCCTTGGCTCAAACCGAACAGTAAGCTATAAAGGGCCCCAAAAAATTACTAGTGTAAAACCATTCAAACGGGAAAACCAACGGTCTAATCTATATAAAAAACGAGAAACGAGAAACACTTATGAACCACATCAACAAACGACAACTACTGAACATCAGATTCCTGACTTACCTAAGTCTACCTAAGTGTTTCCAAACGCAGGAGATCAGCTTGCCGTCCTCTATATTTGGCTCTATTTCACTGTCACTATCACTGTTGATTACTGTGCTACCTCCGATCGTGAAGTTGTAATCTACTGTGTAGTCATAAATCATAGGATGTTCTTTCCAATATTTATTTAGTCTTCGTTCGAATGTTTTAACGTTTTTGGCAGTTACAATTGTCTCAGGAAAACTGTTCCAGACTTCCACTACTCTGTTGGTAAAATAATACTTTCTAACATCCAGCCTACTCCTGTTCTTGACTAACTTCAAAGAATGCCCTCTTGTTGTTGAACCACTACTTAATGTGAAAATACCACTTGATGCCCTTTCATCATAGATGTTATTGAGAATCTTGTACGTCTCGATCATGTCGCCTCGTAGTCTACGATATCTAAGTGTTGGTAATTTCAGGAGTTTTAATCTGTCTTCGTATGACACTTAGGACAGGTGCAAACAAATGCAGCGGGTTTAAACGTTTTAATGGTACCAAACCTTCAGCCTTTTTCTGAAACAATAGTGTAACATCACAACATAGAAAGACACACTATAAAATATCAACTGAAATAGCTTAACTCAATCAAAGGACATATTAACACCACTGAACATACACTGAACAAATAAATTTGACCTATGACACAATGTAAATACAAAATAAATAAACTAAGGGAAGAATAATAAAAGTAACATGTTATATCGGTAAGAAATGTTAAACAATTAAAGAAAAACAATATGATCGAACAAAATTATCAGCCATTTGCAATAACTTTAAACACTGGTAAATGAAAATAATTTTGTTGTTAGGTATACGTGTACAGTACCAATAGAGAAAGGAAATATTTTTACAAAATAAATAATTTTGATGTTCATAGCACGAAGTGAAAATTTATAGTTATACCAAACACTTATCAAAGCTGGTATATAGACCAGATATAACCCTGAATAACATTAAATAACAAAAAAGCAATACAATTAGTATCAACAGGTCAAATAAACAAAAAAGTACGATGTTTATTATGGAGTTCTAGTCATCTGCTGTTGTTAATCCTGTTTATTATGGAGGTCTAGTCAGCTGTTGTGGTTAATGATGTAAATGATGGAGGTCTAGTCAGCTGGTGTTGTTTATGGTGTTTATTATGGAGGTCTAGTCAGCTGCTGTTGTTAATCCTGTTTGTTATGGAAGTCAAGTCATGCAGCTACTGTTGTTTATCAGGTTTATTATTAATGTCTAGTCGGCTACTGTTGTTATTCGTGTTCAGTATAGATTTCTAGTCAGCTGTTGATGTTAATCATGTTTAGTATTGATTTCTACTCAGCTGCTGTTGTTATTCAT